AAAAGAAATTAGACTCAAACTTTGAGAACAAATCAGTTGTACATCTGCTTCTCTGTCTCCAACTCCAAACGACCTGAAACACTTTTATCAGTTTCCCCACAGCTCTCTCATGCTCGCGCCTGCGATTTCAAGTCTTGAAAGGAAGAGGCAACACAGAGTTCACTTGCCAATCTAGAGGTTTCTACAGCAATATGTACATATAAAACTCCTCCAAATGCTGCTTAATTAACTGATGATATTCACTCTCTCTTCCTTCACAAAGCAAACAGAAGTCTCTGAGGGCATTTTTCTCATTATCTTTTTAACTTCTTATAACTTGTATGTATTTCTTCAGCTATGGTTAGGAAGTGCTTTTCAGCAAAACTCAACTCCTTTTTAACTGCCAATTAATTTCCTCATTCTTTTTCATTCTAGTCCCTCTACTTACCTCTGCTTCTCCTGGTACAGTACTACCTTAGAACAACAGTAACAATAAGAGCAATAAGAGCACAAATCAGTTGAGGTTTTCCATTTATCCCTCACCTTAAGGACTCAAAAGGTCTCATATAGTTTTATATTTAATATCTTTGCTAAATATTGGCAAAAATCTCTTCTTTCACATTTAATTTTTAGAATAAGTGTGACTATCATTGATTCTTTATGATAGTCTATTCATTACTTATATAAACATATCATTGAAAAGGTTTTTAAGTACCTGCTCCAGTATGTATTTTATTTACTTATAAAATAGTATGTAGTATTATAAGTTAGTATGTACTATACAATGATATATGGAATCAGAAATTTTTAAATGGAGAGACAAATACATAAGTTTATATATATTTATTTACTTCAGAAGTATTGGTATTCTTTTTCTTGCATTCTCTGGAAGTGTGTATAATTACACTTTGGTGACCACTAGTCTAAAAGGCTAAAAAAAAAAAAAAGCCCACAGAAAATATCTAAACTTCCATCATACAATTTAACCACTGATAAACATTTTTCCCCTATAAAAGTCTACCTTTCAACTTTTTGAAGCTCTTGTTAACAAGAGAATTCTTAAAGCTGTCCATCCTACACTAATTTGTGAACTGGAAGGTCAAGATATAATTACATGAGGCAACTACATTATTTTTTAAAAAACACAACAGTGGCAGAATTTGAGCCTAACCACAGCAAAATTTGGTGTGTATTTTATGCATGTTTGCATGCATGTCTTTCTCTAATAGAAAGGAAGATAATTTTCCAATAGAATAAAAAATATAGAGAAAGATAAAGTACAGACACTGCACTAGGCACTGGTCTTTACAAAATCTGACAGAAAATCAACTTCAAGATCAAGGCCAAAGATCCAAACAAACACTGCTTCAATCTGCTCTACAACAGAGCCACCAAGTGGTGGTTTATGTAATCTGTGTTCAAACATCCTTCAGCAAAAGGAAAGCAGCCCACTCATTTTCTGATACTTCTGATTATTTGAGATAAATAAATTGAACCAAAATCTATCTAATGATAACTCTATCTACTGGCCCTATTTTTATTCTCAGAGGTAATACAGAACAAGCCTAATCACTCTTCCACTTGACAGCTCTTCAAATATTTTAAAGTGAGTGCTAAAAACCTCACGTCCTCTTCAACCTAAGTATCCAAATTTGACTTAGCTATTTCTCATGTATAGTTAAAAAAATTTCTCATGACCACGTCCAAGAAGAAATGCAAAACTAAGAACTAAATTCTTAAGTTACAAAGGAGAATAATTTGCAAAATTAAACATAGCCCTGGTTGTAAACCTTAAAGCAATAATTTAAGTATAGACCATTACTTAAATATTACTGAACATCTGAAGCAAATTTATTTATAGATATATAAAGAGAATTCATTAATATTAGCAGAGAGTTGACATTTTAAAAAAAATTTTACCAATTAAATACCTCTAACAAACAGCAGTTTTCATTTTTTTAAACTATAGCACAAAAGACCAATTTGTGGTCATTTACATAAATAATTTACATAAATAATTATTATTTTAGGAGCACCTGGGTGGCTCAGTTGGTTGAGCGACAGACTCTTGATTTCAGCTGGGTTGTGATCTCAGGGTTGGGGGATCCAGCCCCGCAGCAGGCTCTGTGCTCAGCAGTCTGCCTGAGATTCTTTCCTCCTCTCCTTTTGCCCCTCTCCCCACTCCCCCGCTGCTCCCACGCTCTCACACTCTCTCTCAAATAAAGAAATCTTAAATAGAATAACTATTATTGTTTTAAAAACTTAGCTAAACCTTTTCAATAATACAAGCCCTGAGATCCTCCAGGAAATTAATCAAAGATCTCAGGCTTGTACACGTATATGTGCTCATGTACACAAACATAGCTGTGCTGAAGATAAAGAGCAAAACTATAACTAATGTTTCTTATACAGCTGCCCTCTTGCTAAAAATGAGTTAGGAAACTAATTCCAACAGAAGAGTTCCTATTTTACTATACTACCAATCAATCAACCAGATTTTATTTACATTAAAATAATGTTTGCACAGTGAAGGAAGATGTTCAGCTATTAGTCCATCATTAAAGTATGGTAGAAGTTAGCCCACAATCTGATACTCATCTTCAGCACAGCTTGTTTCATAAATGATCTTTCCTATCAATAAGACGGATGACATGAGAACTAGACAAAAAAATATAAATTTCAATTAACTAATTCACCATTAATATTTCTCAATATTTGAGTATTTGAGAAGCTGAAAAAATTGAAAGTGTAATTTAAATAACGTGTCAGTATCATACACTATGAATAGGTCATATAATAAGACTTACTTTATTCAGGAAGAGCAAAGAGAAAATTCAATGTTGCTTTATATTTTGGTCTCCTGAACAAAGGGTTACTTTAATTCTAAATAAGCTTCCATTAATTTTCTTAAATGGTCAAGCCATTAAACAAAACGACAATACATTCACGAAGAGCATTCTATTCTGTTTTTATTGAGCTCACTGTGAGCAAGAACAGCTAGCTATGCAAGAAAAGTTAGAGATAATATTAAATCAATTCTGCAAGTTTTGCATATTAAAAATAGACAACATTAGTTCATTCAGAAAAAAAGGCACCAATCTTTATTGAGACTACTAGGATTTCTATTTCCTGGTGTACCTCAGCTTCTTGGGGAACTCCAACCAAGTTACTTACTATCTGGTTCAGATTTTAGCTATACTAATATTTACCTAGAAGATGTTCTACATAATTGAATATTTTAGAAAACTTATATTCATTCCACTATGCAACTGAAAACATTTTATATTTTATCTATTTTTATAGACATTTTTCTGGAAGATATTACCTATTATTTCCCTCTTTTCTAAAAAAAAAAAAGTGCAACTTAATTTAACCGTTTCCTACAGATTTAGTCACAACATGCACATGAACTGTACTGCATGATGGTACTGCTGTGCTGTGACGTTATGTTTACTCACCTCTCTTTGCTGTCCCTTACTGATGACAGTGTGTTCTTGGATGCTTCTGATGCCTACATGAGAACCTCAGAGTGGTCTATATAGGCTCCTGAGCATAAAAGATTTGGGCTTTGTGGTATCTGGCTACTCTGAGTTCTTTTTCTCTCCCACTTTGCCTCCATGGCTGGTTTTTAAATGACTGAAGTTACTATATAAAATCACAGCAAAATAGGTTTTTGACACTGGGAAGCAAGTTCTAAAGAGCTCCAACTACCTGAACATGAGAGCAGAAAAACCTCCTCCCTTAGAAGGCAGCACTGGCTAATTTGTACAATGAGGTCTCCGTTCCTTTTTCCCTAGGAATCAACCATGTCAATTACATGACATTCTTCTCTATATAGACGATCTAACAGCATACCCTCCACAATGCCTGCTCATTAGATGCAAAGAATAGAAACAAAGACAGAAAGAATAGCAGAGTTGCCCAATCACCCATGGTGTACAAGAGTTAAATAAAAATAATGTGTGCTTAGCATTTATTTATATATGACAAATAAACGTAAATGAAACTATGACTCTGACTTTATGTCTTTGCTGGGTGCTCAGAAGTAGTGAGAATATAAAGACGTAATTTTTTTTTTGTCTATTTAAGAGGCCAACACAATAGGACTTCTGAAAAACAATGGAATTCTTGAAACCATCAGAAATATTTATAAAACCCCAGAGTACATAAATTGGAATTACAGAAAATCTTGATTTTGTTCTTTCTCCACGTACATTGAATGAATCACAAAATTAGTTATCCAATTTTTTTTCACTTTGTCAAGCATTAATAACACAGACCACAAGTAAAAAAAGAAATTCTGCCTATATAAACTGATGACCTACTTCTCTGTACCAAGTAAGTTCTTATGACTCAAGTTTTAAAGAAACTATTCTAAGCCAATCAAAGATTAGTTGCTTACATAATAAATAAAACAATCATTTTGGCTACCACAAATTCTCATTGCTCTGAAGTACTTTTATCAGGAGAGAGGAAAAATGTGAGGTGGTCTTTGAGTAACTAATAAAAATTTATTTTACTTTCAATTTTCCCAACAAGAAAAAAAAAAAAAGACATGTGAAAGATCAACCCCATTGATCTACTTGGCCTGAATAAATTACAAATTATCACTTCAGTTCTGCTGGCTGGTAATGTCAAAAACTACTGATTTATAGAAAATAAATAAGGAAGAGAGTAATAACAAAGTATCTCTGCAGAAAAGACAAAGTCACCCCATAAAGCTTTTGTTTGTTTGTTTTTTCACATATAACCCAAAGCTATCCTGTTAATGTATCTCCGGTATCTGCAGCTGATGACATACAGTAGAGATTACGAAATTAACACTATTCAAGATGACTGCTTTCTGGTGACACTCATGAAATAAAGAATATGTTCTTTACTCTTGTAATCTTGGACCAAATAAATTATTCTGTTCCCTTATCTGTAAAATGGGGGCAACCGGAACACTGAAAATTTATGATTGGTAAAATGTTTATAATCTTCAGGTAATGATATATAAAAATTAACTACTTGATTCATACCTTGTTTTAATTCTAAACCTTCAGGTTGCTTGTTCTCTCTCACAGTTGAAGTAGAATCTACACAGATGTCTTGTCTGAGGAATAAAAATAAATAAAACAATTTTTAAAACTATATTTGATCAAATAATACTGCTCAGGTTCCCAGAATTAAGTCACATACTTGGGAAGACACACTGAATTCTGAGCCCCGAGGACACCACTTAGTACACTTTGGAAACTCAGAAACATGTATACAAGTGTCAAAAACAGTATCTATAAACCACTACCAATTTAAGCAGTATATACCTTTGTAAAAATCAAGGAGCAAAAATGGAAGGAATATGGAGGTAACTTTTTCTCCTTTCCAATATCCTGCAGGATAGCTGGTAGGAGAAATCATAACTTACAGAGGAATCCAATAACTTTTCAAGTTCAACTGTTAAATTTAATGGGCACTTTGGCATTCAAATTATTTTATATTCATCTAATTTCATACCTCAAATGCTTTGATGTCTACAGTATGTGTGAAATACATATTTTATATGTAATATACATATGTAATCAAAGTAAATGGATTAAAGTATGAGATCATAAAAAAGTTTTGATTCACCATGTTCTCCAACAGAGTCGCAAACTAATGTTGTTTCTTAGAGGGCATTATACCATCTAAATATTAATGTTACAAATACTTTTCAGCAAAAGAAATTAATTAATTGCAAATATTCAAAATGACTACCTTCTTTATAAGTAAGTATACCTCCTGGAGAATTTCTATACACACCCTAAAACTAACATATGAGAAATATTTCGGGAATTTTCCAACTCACAAAATTATTTCTATCCACTTAATAACAAATCCTTCAAATAACCAAAGGATAAAGACTTGTTATCATTTCTTTGAGTTTACAACATTCTTTCCATCAACATATTTGGCACTCATGTGTTTATTTTGTATTAAAATTTGACTAATGCAAGCACAAACTCAAATAGAGACTACAAAATTATTTGGATCTGGTATTAGTTAGGACATATAAAAAACTAAAATTGAGATATGTTTTATTCTTCTTTCTAATATCACCGACTTAGATTTTAGTCTTTCACCAGAATGACTGGCAGATGCCAAGGAAGATATCAACAAATATTCTTTGGCAATCCAGGGACAGATAAAATGCCAATATAGTATATTAAGAGCTTTGCAAGGAATAAAAGTTAAAATGTGCTACCTCAAGCCTTACAGTCAAATCAGATTTTACCTACTGGGAGCATTAATCTATTTCTAAGTACCTTCCTTTAGGGTAAATGTTTGTTTGCTCTTACATGACCTTGAATGGGCACCTAATTCTTCTTCTAAGCACATATATCTAAATGACTTGAACAAAAACATAATGTAACTTCACCATTAAAAGGGCCATGGGTGGGGTGCCTGGCTGGCTCAGTCGAAAGAGTGTGCGACTCTTGATCTCAGGGTCATGAGTTCGAGCCCCATGTTGGGTGGAGAGATTACTTAAACTTTAAAAGCGGTGGTGGGGGGGCATGAGCATATGTACTACCCTAAGGATACAACATCACCTATGCAATATTATAGCTGAGAATGTATGACCTATATCATGAAGAAATCATCAGTTCAACCCAAATGGAAAAAAGTAATGTTCTATTAAAAGGGGGTGGGGAGTTAAATGTCAATGTTATAAAAGACCAAGAAGAGGTTGTGAAAATATTTCAGGTTAAAGGAGGCTAAAGAGCCATGACAATTAAATGTTATACTTGAGATGACACTGCTGAACTGGAAGGGAAAAAATGTTATAAAGGACATTACTTAGTCAAATGACAAACTGAAATACCGATGGTAGATTGGATAAAAGTATCATACCAATGTTAAGTTTATTGAAGTTGACACTGTATTGTGGCTATATAAAAAGAACATCACTATCTTTAAAAAAAGAAAGCACAACATACTATCTAGGAGTCAAGTGTCATGATGTATGTAACTTATAGCCTCAAATGTTTTAAAATGGACACACACCTATATAAAGAGAGATAAAGAGAGGTAAAGAGAGGTAAAGAGAGGGTGTGCAAATGGGATAAAATGTTAACAGTAGGTAAATCTAGGTATAAGGTATATGGATGTTTCTTGTACTGCTCTTATTCTTATAACATTTTAATAACTGTGAAGTTATTGCCAAGTAAAAATTTTTAATAATAATGTAATAAAATGCATTACTGTATGCATTATTTTATTTTCTCTGTGAAAGCCCCTTGGTTTCCCTTCAAATAAAACTGGACATCCCTATAAAGATTACCTGCTGCCATAAAGAATTTCTTTTAGTGCCCAAAGTGAACTTTTGTAACGTTCTGTTTTATCTTAAGTTAGGTTTGAACATGCTGTTGAAGAAAGTCACCAAACATAATTTCAGACAGTAGATGCAGTACAAGTACACCACCTTGTGGCTGAAAAATGAAATGCTAGATGCTTTTCCATCAGTAGTACGTGAAGTCAAAAAAATATTCCAGAAAATAGCTTGGAATTTTAAAATCTATGCGAGCTAATTTTTCCAAGATGTAGGCTTTGCAACTAAAATTATCATATACATACAGAGCTTTTTAATACAATTTAAAGATTTTCACCAAAGAGCATGAAAGAGAAAATATACACAAAAAAGGAAATGTCTTAAGGTATACGAAAACTATGAGTACATATGATGTCTTTTTATTTCTAGTTTCATAAAAATAAAACGTCTACTCCCAGATAAGACATATTAGTTGTCAGAGTTAGGAAAACTAAAGTAATTCTAATTTATATTTAAATGACATTTAAATACTTATATCAAATACTTTAAGAATTTTATAACAACTGTAGGGTCGCCTGGGTGGCTCACTGGGTTAAGCCTCTGACTCTTGATTTCAGCTCAGGTCATGATCTCGGGGTTGTGAGTCCAGCCCTGCTTCAGGCTCCACACTCAGCGGGGGTTGGATTGAGATGCTTGCTCTCTCTCTCTCTTTCTCCCCCTTTGCCCCCTCCCCTGCTCGTGTGCACACCCTCTAATAAATCTTTTATAAAAAAGAATTTTATAACAACTGGAGAGAGAGAGAGAGAGAAGGCAAGAGAGAAAAGTGGGGAGGGAGGGAAGAACACACTACTAAATCCGGTCTGGGTTAAGAATCTTGCAATGACTTTCGTATTTCTTTCATTAAGGAAGAAATAAAAGCCTGTTTTTATTTTTCTAATTTCCTTCTCCCATCCACAGTACTCCTCCTTAAAGCAGCTTAATTTACAATCTTGGCTTTGAATTATAAGACAGCCGTATACCCATCTCTGGGATTTAAGTCTTCAAGCCAGTATCAGTCTGACCTTTCTTTTAACCCAAACACAATTCCACTCTTGATCCTTTCTTACAACAAAATAAAAAAATAAACTATCGGGACTACATCAAAATAAAAAAGCTTCTGCACAGCGAAGGAAACAACAAAACTAAAAGACAGCCTACGAAATGGGAGAAGATATTTGCAAATGACATGTCTGATAAAGGGTCAGCATCCAAAATGTACAAAGAACTTCTAACACTCAATGGATGTTTTTGTGTTTGTTTTCCAGAATTCAATGAATTTGTTGTTTAATTCAGAGTAATACACTGGGGAGATCTGTGGAACTTAAGAACAATTACACATGTGAATTACTAAAAGTTTAAAATACATTTCTAAAGAGAAAAAAAGTCAATTTCTTGTACAAATAAAAAATACAGAGAAGATACCTCAATGGAAGGATAAAGAAGATGCCAGCATCTTGCCATTTTGGCAAAAGTAACAAAAGGTAGGACTTTTGATTCTCCTCACTCTCCAGGGAATAAAAACAGGGGCTAAAAGAAGCCAGCCTATCACTCTATGAGTTTTCTATTATTAAAAATAAGAAACAAAGAAACTAGAGTAGCCAAAACAACTTTGAAAAAGGATGCACATTATCAGATTACTATAAAGCTACAGTAATCAAGACACTATGATGTTGGAGAAAGGATAAACTTAGAGATGGATGGAACAGAAGAGAATCCAGAAATAAACTCACATATACATGATCAACTGAGTTTCAACAAAAGTGCAAAGACAATTCACTGGAACTGAACAAATGGTGCTGGTACAGCTGGTATCCATATGGATATAATTTCCAACGCATATCTTGCACCATATACACAAACTAACTCAAAATGGTAAGACCTAAAAAATGTAAACCTATAAAACCTCTAGAAGATGATGCAGGAAAAATTCCTTTGTGATCTTATTAATAACCAAAGATTTCACCAAAAGCATGGTCTATAAATAAAAATAATTGATCAACTGGATTTCCCCCAAAGAAAAAACATCTGCTCTTCCAAGGAAATGTTGAGAGAATAAAAGACTAGCAAGACTGGGACAAAATATTTGCAAGCCACATAACTGATAAAGACTTGTATTCAGAGTATATTAAGAACTCTCAAATCACAATAATAAAAAAAACAAAGAACCCAATTTAAAAAACTGGTTCAAAAATTAAGCCACTTGACCAAGGAAGATGTACAGATGCAAATAAACAAAATAACAGACATGGTCAACGTCATTTGTTATTAAGGAAATGCAAATTTGGAACCACCACAATGCCATACCACTACACATTTATTAAACTGGCTAAAGTCAAAACAACAGACAAATGGAACTCTCATATACAGTATCAGCAAGGATGCAGACATACCTGTTAGCAACCCCCCATCATAGGTACTTGACCAAAGACAATGAAAACTCGTGTTCCTATCGAAAACTTGTATGAGAACATTCATAGTGGCATTATGTGAAATCACCATAAATTGTAAACAACTGAAATGTCCCTTTATTAATTTTCTATTGCTGCCATAACAAATTACCACAAACTTAATAGCTTAAAACAACATAAATGTATCATATTACAGTTCTGTAGGTCTGGTATGGGTCTGGTATGGGTCTCACCGGACCAAATCAAAGTGTCCACAGGCTGCATTGCTTTCTGGAGGCTCTAGGGGAGAATTCATTTCAAGTTCATTTGGGCTGCTGGCAGAATTCTGTTCACTGAGGTTGTTGGACCAAAGTCCCTGAC